CACTAATCTGAAAGGCATCTTCTAAAGAGTTCTGTGCCAAGAATTTTTAAAAACCAAGTTACTCAACTAACCAGGACGGATCAGCATACACAGATGATTGAACACTGACAAGAAGGTTAATCTAAATGACAGGCTGCAGCTTTATCAACTCAGATAAGGGGGACTATCCAACTCATCTCCCCTGTCTCAAAAATGAGTCCACTAAGGGAGGGGAGGCTGATAGTTTCAAGCACGTGAGCCAGAATAGGGTCTCAGGCCAGCTTACCTCATTCATCTGAATCTTCTTGGTAAGGAAGATCATACTGAAGAGACCTCTTTTTATGACTACTTCAGATCCTCACAGGTGCAGAATCCCACATCCCTTTTTAATACGTTGAGGATCTGAACCTGTTGGGTTGCTATGGACACCATCTGTCACCAGCAGCAAATTGAACCTTCTGAAAAACTACTGCTAAGCTTTGAGTCCTGTTCAGAATTCACCTGTGCCTCCCAGGTGTTGCGAGGTTGGTAAAAATCCTATCAAGGTGCTGGTAATTTGTCATCAGTGGTAACAATTCTGGGTTGATGTAAAAACAGGCTAATAGTGTGATCCTTTGCATGCTTAAAAAACACAGCTCCCATATTACAGCTGAAGGGAGGGAGGGACAAGAGGATTCAAAAGATTTTGACAAATGGTGATAGGATGTGAGGGGCCCCATCAGCTCCCACATTCCTCTGGCTGAGCAGCAGGAGGCAGAGAATATCTAAAGGAGGGGGCCTCTCCCTGCATTGCTGGTATGACCTCCACACATGTGCTGCCCAGATCTGTGTATCAGGCCCATGAGCCAAGAGAGAGATGGGTGGTATTCTACAAAGCTAACTCATTTCCTTGTTCCTTAATGCTGTTTGTTGTCTGTGTTCTGCTCAGCTGGGAGAGAAGCGGTTTTAAGTCATCACTCCCCTGATGTTTTGGCTCCTTTTGTAGCACTGGATTCATTACTTCCTTGCTTGGCTTTCAACAAGAACTAAAATACCATGCCTGAAAAGAGTGGGGCATCATCCGTATATGAAATTACCTGTTCTCTCATCTTTCTACTTTGGGAAAAGTCGCTGAAAATGATTGTAGCATCCAAGAAGCATTCACCTGCTTCTCTGCCAAGGTCTTATATGCCATCATCTACTCACAGGGCCCCTCTACTGTTTACAGTGATCCCGATGTGAAAGAATGACTGAACACTAATTTGACATGAATTTCAGAAAGATGCACAAGCCTCTGGCAGACCATTTTAACCTCCCTGGACATTCCATTGCTGATCTCAGGGTGACTGTAATTAGACAGCAAAATTTAAAAAGCAACCTGAACAGGAAATTGCTGAACAATAAATTATCCACAGATTGAACTTCGTTAAATAGGAGGTGCACAGTCCCACCAGAGGAGGTGCCCTGTTGGA